GTATGTGTGTGTGTATGTATTTGATAATTTTGAATATTGGAATCCCAGGTATGGACATTTAAAGTCAATAAGATAAAAACAACGAACTCTGGGATGTAAGGCAAAAGGCTTTTTTTAATTGCTAAGCTTTCGTTAACCTGTTAACATCATCAGAGCAAAGGGCTAAATGACAAGGCGTGTATATATATGTGTATGTATATATATATATATGTATAAGTCTTAAATGTTATTGCTGTTGCTAAATGATGGTTTGGAAAACAGTGCTAACTGTGCAGTTCACTTGGGACAAAGAGTTTGAAGAATCCAGTATGGTTTCTGAAGATGGCCAGCTTCTGTATGAAACACTCTAGTGCCAAATGGTAAAAGCAGACACCCAACCCTGCCCTTCTCCCTCTTTCTCCAAGGTGTTCCAGAGAGATGGAAATGATTTGCACATGACCCACAAGATTGGACTTGTTGAAGCCCTGTGTGGCTTTCAGTTCACATTTAAGCACCTTGATGCACGCCAGATTGTGGTGAAATATCCCCCAGGAAAAGTAATTGAGCCAGGTAAAAACTCGCATGCTGTTGTTTTGAAAGTTCTTCCATCTTCAAACGCTTTAAAAAAATATTTTCACATCTGTTTTTTGTTTTTTTTTTTGCCTAGAGAGAAGTGACACGCTGCCCTTCATTGACAGGTTTCCTTTTTTTTTTTTTTTTTAAACTCTAGGCTCTGTCCGGGTAGTTCGTGGGGAAGGAATGCCACAATACCGCAACCCTTTTGAAAAGGGTGATCTTTATATAAAGTTTGATGTGCAGTTTCCTGAAAACAACTGGATTAGCCCAGAAAAGCTTACAGTAAGTATACAAAGCAGTCTGCTAGATATTCTCCTCTCCTAAACTCTTCACTTCTCCTCTCTACATGCAGTTAAACCTTAAAATAAGTGTAATATTATTCAAGGAGAAGCATCCGCTCCCAAACACAGGAAAATCACATGATCTGGTCCATTCCACATCATTGTTCCACCGTCTCCAGAAATCTTGGGGGTAGGGCTGGTAGCCACACCATGTTATATGAGCAAAAGGCAAGTTTTATTGAAAAAAATCAAATAACCTTAAACATTTGAGGACATAAATAGAACGATAACTCCATGCAACCCTTTCCTTGCTATATCCTCGGGTCATCATTCTGTTGAGCACCTACAGTAGTGGCCAAAATTGTGGAAACCTTTTGGGAAAAGTGTACAGTAGAAATGCCACCTTTGGTTAAGTTTCCATTTTTCTTCTAATTTCTTTATAACTGTAGCCTTGTTCACTTAATAATACTATTTTACATCATTTTCTGGGCGACCGGTCAACTCTTTGCACCATTACTTTAATTTTATTACGTTTCACAAGCTGACTAAATGAAAGAACAAAAAAAAACCAACCAACTTGATAGCGATCACAATACACACTGACAAATGTCCCCCTCTCAGCTTCAATCCATGACATCAATAACTGAATCCTACTGTGATCTGATTGGCTCATTGCCAAAACAAGATGACACCTGATTGGCTCTCTAAACACTCATGCTCATTGGCTACAATCAGATGAAGAAAGCTACCTGATATCAACCTAAGCAAGTTATGCTTCCTTTTTCTGGTTATTTGGCTATAACTGTTCATAGAATACACTGCCGATAATTGAACAAACTTTGTTTCATTACATTCTTGATTAAATTATCTTTACATTGATATATAATTTTATAGTACTACTCCAAAGAAAAGTGGTGTTATTAGCCATCAAACCTCAAAAATACACTTTTCCCAAAAGGTTTCCACAATTTTGGCCACTACTGTAATTGTCACAATGCTGTATGGCTGTAGTATTATTTTTTAACCTTATTATCTTTCTTAACCCTCTTATTGGTATCGTTATCATCATTATTCTGTTGCTTTGCCTGTACAGTGAGAGCTACTGCACCGGAGACAAATCCCTTGTGTGGTCTAATCACACTTGGCCAAATAACATATTCAAATACATTTGAAATATTTCATTTTTAGGAACTTGAAGATCTTCTGCCCTCCAGACCAGAAGTTCCCAACATAATTAGCGAAGCAGAAGAAGTAGATCTTCAAGAATTTGACACTACTCGTGGGTCAAGCGGTGGGCAGAGGCGCGAGGCATATAATGATAGTTCCGATGAGGAAAGTGGCCATCATGGACCGGGGGTGCAGTGTGCCCATCAGTAGAAAAAATGTTTGTCTAGGGCAGGGTAAGGGGAAGTTACACATGGATTTTTCTCTCTTCAAAATTTTGCCTGACTTGTTCTCAGCAACACAGTTGGATTGTCTAAACAATGCACATGAGCCCAATGGACATCTGTTGCTGTATGTGTAACTTTTAAATTGGTCCATAGTATCTACAGAGTGTATAATTTAAACTAACCACACACACACACACACACATAAAAAAAAAAGCTTACATCTTTTTTTTCCCCCTCGACTGACTGTTCTGTAGCAGAATAAAAGCACTTGAAAGGAAAGGCGAGACTCTCTCCTGTTCATCTGGATTAAGTTCCAGTCCTTGTACTTGTGCTTGATTTTTACCAGTTTTTTGTGTAGATTTTAAGTTTTCTCTATTTTAAATTCAAATTCTACATTGTAAAGTTTTGTGTAAAAATTTGTCCCGAGGCTTGGTATTTGGCTGCATCTTGCATAAGCTGCTACAAATAGAATAAAGACATTCATAGCCTGTATCTACCACTTTAGATGCATGGTAAGTAAATTGGTTCCGGCACACGGGAATAAAACCTGACGGGAAAAACCATGGAAGACTTAAAAAAAAAAAAAAAAGAAAGTGGTTGTAAGAGGTTTTTTTTACCATCTTGTGAAAAAAGGTTTCTGAAACTTAATAAAAACCATTGGTGTATGATGATACGTTTTGTAACGGCTTTCTTTCTGTCAATTCACAGCTGAAATTAGACCTTGGAGTTTTGAAGCAAATCACTTCCAGTATTGACTAGCTTGAACTGAAGAGAGCTAAAGGAAGTCGGCCTTATGGAAGCAAATGGGCCTTGGGTGTCATGCCAGGCATGTAGCACCAAGACCCCCCATAGGGGCATTATTTTTGATGAAAGGACAGGTAATAGCTGTAGCAGGACTAGGCTAGGTTCCACCTATGTCAAGAAAACCCACCAAAAAGGCATATCATTTTAGCTTTGCTTCCTCAACGTCTCCTGTGTTTCCTTACATAATCCAGTATACAGCCCTGTGCAGGAGTAAAGCCACGTTCAAATAAATCCCCGTAGGAACTTGCATGTGATTTACAGTTTTGGATTGACAAATTAAGAGGAGAGTTTTCAACATCTCATTGAATAGAAGATTGTAATTCAAATTTGCAAAAAGGCTGCAACATGTTCACTTGAAATATTTGAAGGAGCATCATTTTCAGTTTTGAAGTTTCCAAACTGTAAAAAAAATGATATCCTGTTCTTAAAAATAAAATTACTTCCTCCTCGGGCTAAAACAATCTAGCCTTTACACAGATAAGCTCAGATCAAACACCTCTTGAAAGTGAACGGGTTTTGCAGAGAAATGAGAAAGGCTTGTGGGTCAATATCCTAAAAGTTCATGTAACTTGCAGGGCAAGAGGTGATTGTTATTACTATGCTTAAGCTAGGACAACTCAACTATTGAATAGCTTTTAAGACAGCTGTCACAGAAGCCAATATCCCCATTGCAAACACTCATATACCCCTTGAAAAGCTGTCTGTGACCTGCACAATTGAAGACAAGTGTGTCTGCGTGAGGTCAATTTAAAAGTCTTGAAGCATAGAATGCTTATAAATATTTCTATAATGCAAACAAAGTTCTTGAAGATTCATAGAGGTCAACCATAAACTCTCATCAATTATTTGCAGTTATGATTGCCTTGTAACCAGAACAAATAGAGGTTTGAGAGGTAATTCAACATAGCTGCTGATCACTATTCCCTTTTACCTCTCCGCCCTTCCCTTAGGATTTGAACTAAAGTGGCACAAAAAACTCTACCCTACGATGCTCCTAAAAACCTAATCATGGACACAAAGTCAACCTCAAAAGCCACAGAGACTTAGCAATATAATAATTACAAGTACTCTATCAAGAGACAGTAATTTTCCAGAATTGCATCTACCTTAATTTTGCCTTAAGTTCTCAGAGCAGGGAGATACAGATATGTACCCCCCAGGTCTGAGCTTCTACAATATTTCCACCCCCTTCGTGGATGTACCATCTTGGGAAGAGGATTTCTCTTATTTTTACAAGGTATATATCCTATGTGATATATCTCTATTACGTTGGTCACTAAACAAGGTTGTAAGCTGAGTATATAATATGTCTCTAACCAACTTTTAAAAACTAGCTAAGGCACTGAATGTAGTACTACCATGATACAGTTGGAGTATGCAGGTTGATTTCTGATAGTCAGCTATTCTCCTTTGATAAGATGATATTGGGATTTTCCTGAATTGTTAAGAGCCATTCTCAAAAGTCTAAAAAATGCAGATCTTTAGGGCTCTCTAGATGCACTACCATTTATTTTTGACTAGGAGGGATATACCTTCACCAAACTTTGTCGTATGTATGTTCGCTATAAGATTATGCCAAGAATCAGGCAATTTCATAACTTGATTATCAAGGTGACAAATACTAAACCTAATCAGAACTGAAGTGCATTCTTCAGTTTTTAATTCTAATGGAAGGTCAGTTTCAAATGTTTCAATAAACCTTTAGCTAAATTCACTAATTACGTTTCATGTCTACATACAGGCATAAATTGAAATCTGAGGGAATGAAGGCCAATCATCATTTTACTTTCATTCTCCCACTAAGAATGTTTGCTTCAAGTGTCAAGTCACCAAGTGTTTCTATATGAGAAATATACAAAGTTTAATAAGCAATAAATCCTTAAAACCAATTGCCTGCTGCTTTAAATGTATCCAGGAGTTTCTTTACATGAAGGAAATACAAGAAAAACTGCCATCCATTTCTTCAACTTTACTTAACTGTTGCTTTTCCACAAAGGGCCGTCAGCTGGTTCTGAGGAAGGAAAAGGCAAATCGTGTAAGTATCTCCTTAGAAATCTAAACATCATTTCGGGGGTTATTCCTATTTTTTGTGGATTTTTATTTAATGGATTTTACATGAAGGCAATGTAAAAACAAGACCAGGAGCTGACTGTGGCTCAGATCATGAGCTTCTCGTTGCAAAATTTAGGCTTCAATTGAAGAAAGTAGGGAAAAACACTAGGCCACTCAGGTATGAACTAAATCATATTCCTGATGAATATACAGTAGAGGTGACAAATAGATTTAAGGAATTAGATCTGATAGAGTGCCTGAAGAACTATGGATGGAGGTTCGCAACATTGTACAAGAGGTAGCAACTAAAACCATCCCAAGGAAAAAGAAATGCAAGAAAGCAAAATGGCTGTCTGAGGAAGCTTTGCAAATAGCTGAGGAAAGAAGGGAAGCGAAAGGCAAGGGAGAAAGAGAAAGATACATCCAATTGAATGCAGAATTCCAAAGAATAGCTAGAAGAGATAAGAATGCCCTCTTAAATGAACAGTGCAAAGAAATAGAAGAAAACGATAGAATGGGGAGAACCAGAGATCTCTTCAAAAAAAATTGGAGATATGAAGGGAACGTTTCATGCAAAGATGGGCATGATAAAGGACCAAAATGGCAGGGACCTAACAGAGGCAGAAGAGATTAAGAAGAGGTGGCAAAAGTACACAGAAGAACTATATAAGAACGAGCTTAACGTCCCAGATAACCACGATGGGGTGGTCACTGACCTCGAGCCAGACATCCTAGAATGTGAAGTGAAATGGGCCTTAGGAAAGCTGAGCAACAACAAAGCTAGTGGAAGTGACAGTATTCCAGCTGAGCTATTCAAAAAGTGCTACACTCAATTTGCCAGCAAATTTGGAAAACTCAACAATGGCCACAGGATTGGAAAAGGTCAGTTTACATTCCAATGCCAAAGAATGTTCAAACTATCGCACCATTGCACTTATTTCACATGAAAATAAAGTTATGCTTAAAATCCTACAAGCTAGACTCCAGCAGTATGTGGATCGAGAACTTCCAGAAGTACAGGCAGGATTTCGAAGAGGCAGAGGAACTAGAAATCAAATTGCCAACATACGCTGGATCATGGAAAAAGCTAGGGAGTTCCAGAAAAACATCTACTTCTGCTTTATTGACTCTGCTAAAGCCTTTGATTGTGTGGATCACAACAAATTGTGGCAAGTTCTTAAAGAGATGGGAGTACCAGACCATTTTATTTGTCTCTTGAGAAACCTATATGTGGGTCAAGAAGCAACAGTGAGAACTGGACACGGAACCACTGATTGGTTCAAAATTGGGAAAGGAGTCCGGCAAGGTTGTATTCTGTCGCCCTGCCTATTTAACTTATATGCAGAGCACATCATGAAAAAGGCAGGGCTAGATGAATCAAAAGTTGGAATTAAGATTGCCGGGAGAAATATCAACAACCTAAGATATGCAGATGATACCACTCTAATGACAGAAAGTGAAGAGGAACTAAAGAGCCTCTTGATGCGGGTGAAGAAGGAGAGTGCAAAAGTTGGCTTGAAACTCAACATTAAGAAAACCAAGATCATGGCATCCGTCCCTCTCAATTCCTGGCAAATAGATGGGGAAGAAATAGAGGTAGTGACAGATTTTATCTTCCTGCGCTCCAAGATCACCACAGATGGGGACTGCAGCCAAGAAATTAAAAGACACTTTCTCCTGGGGAGGAAAGCTATGGCAAATCTAGACAGCATACTAAAAAGCAGAGACATCACCCTGCCAACAAAAGTACGTACAGTCAAGGCCATGGTTTCTCCAGTTGCAATGTATGGCTGTGAAAGTTGGACCATAAGAAAGACTGAGTGCAAAAAAATTTGAGGCCTTTGAACTATGGTGCTGGAGAAGACTCCTGCGAGTCCCCTGGACTGCAAGGCATTCAAACCAGTCAGTCCTAGAGGAGATCAACCCCGACTGCTCTTTAGAAGGCCAGATCATGAAGTTGAAACTCAAGTACTTTGGCCACCTAATGAGAAGGAAGGACTCACTGGAGAAGGGCCTAATGCTGGGAAAGATTGAGGGCAAGAGAAGAATGGGATGACAGAATGAGGTGGCTGGATGGAGTCATTGAAGCAGTAGGGGTGAGCCTTAAATGGACTCCAGAAGATGGTAGAGGACAGGAAGGCTTGGAGGAACATTGTCCATGGGGTCGCGGTGGGTCAGACACGACGTCGCAACTAACAACAAATGTAATTTTATGTCCAAACAAAATGTAAAGCTGATTTTAGCAAAATGATTATCCTTAATGTCATTTATTTCTAATGAAGGCTACAAGTCTATTCACTCTGGAAAAAGTCTGTCTGTGCCCACTAAGAATCAGTGTTGATGTGATGGCATAGAATTGATCAGTCTTGCAAGTCTCACTTCTTAGATCCACAGTGTGGATCATTCCAGTTCAATGATTTAATTCCCATTCTAAATAAGAATAGGGAATACTTTGTCTCCAAGGGAACAAACGTTTTCCAATTGGCCAAATTCAATCCAGCTGCCATTTTGCAAAATTGCCAGTGTCTACCTATAGCAACCCTTGTGTGAGAGTATCCAATACAAGCTCTCAATGTTATCTTTATACCCTCTGGCTGAAAACGTTTTGCCAACTCCTACTTTTCGCCAATTGGGAAAGAGAAGGGATTCAGACCAGCTCAGAACTGAGCAGAGTCAAGAGCTGGAGAGAAGCTTTCTGAAGAGGGAAACTCCAAATTCTCCAAAAATATGGATGTGGAAGACAGCTAGCCATTTCTCAAAATACTTCGCTTTCAGCACTTACCACCAGGGTGTGGATGTGCTGGACAGTGTCATTATTTAACAGCTGCACATCAATGTTTTGGATGTCCTCACCAGATGAGCAAAGAGTCTGAAACAAAGCAAAAAGATATCATTTGGAATGCACCTAGGGGGACTCAACTTTCCTTCAGCAACCAAAGTTATGATTGTGCTAAAAAATATATACAGTATATCCAGTCCTCACATTTATGATTGTTGCAGCTTCTAACAGTCACGTGATCAAAATTCAGGCGCCTGACAACTAGCCTGTATTTTATGATGGTAGCAGCATCCCAACAAGCACAGTCAATGTGGAAAGCCAAATTCGCTGAATGACATGATTCATTTAACAACTGCGGTAATTCACTTAATGATGGCAGCAAAAAAAAGTGGTAAAATTGGGTGTGAGTCGTTTACTGACCGCCTCGCTTAGCAACATAAGTTGGTCGCAATTGTCATAATTTGAGGATCATCTGCACAGCAAATAATACATATAATTTCACATATATTCTTCCCCATTCATGTTGCTGGATGTTTTGTGGTCTTATTTCCACCCCAATGACTTCAAAACTCCAGGGCCTTCCCTTAGTAATGCCGATTTTATTCCTAAGCATCTTGAAATAATTGCTACTGATCTGACAGTGAAGCCTGTCTTTTTCGCCATCCTATTTCCGTGATGACCAGATTCATGCAGCTTCTTAACACACAATAACTAGATCCCGGAGATGTGTGTACATCTACGTATACATACACCCATCAAGCGAAGCCAATTCTGCTATGGACAAAGCCCATAAGAGCCATACCTGCCCATCGCTCAGAGGTATGTTGACAAAAGGAAGGGATCGTTCGGGGGGCATCGAAGAACTGCGAAGACTGGAACTCTGAGTTCTCTCTGAGTTTCCTGTGGAGATCCCCCTCTGTGCAAATCTAGCAAGAGAAAAGGGGGGGGGGGTAGACAAAGAGATTGCTTTGAGTCTTTGAAATATTCATCTTCAAAAAAATCAGGCTGCGAGTATCAAAATCAAATGTGTGTACGTATATATCCATGCATAGGTAGGTAGATAGAGACAGAATTTAAATTTATTGGCTGCCCAACTCTATATACAAATACAAGCAGGTAGACAGCTTCAGAGGGTTTTTTTAAAAAATGCAGCTGCTTTAAAGAGTCAGTTTATTAAAGCAGCCATGTCTTTGTTCCTATTTCCAAGCTGTCAGGGCACTGCCATCAGATCACTTGCCCCCCAAGGTCCCCAGGACAGGCAAGAAGAGGGTCATCTGAACATCCAGAGGGCAACTTTCGCAAGGACCTCTAGAGAGCTGCAACTGGAGAAATGGTCCAGCACCAATCCATTCAGAAGACTCAGGGCGTTTTCCTCTCTTGTACCTAACAACACAAACATGCCCTGACATTGCCTTCGTCTTCTCCATGAGTGAAATGGGCTTAGGGCACCCCTAGTTAAAGATGTCGCACACCTCATCCATTTTGACAGCATCTAAGGCAGCGGTGGCGAACCTATGGCACGCATGCCAGAGGTGGCACTCTGAGCCCTCTCTATGGGCACGTGTGCCGTTGCCCCACCCCCACCTTTCCCACGGCCCCCTCCTCCCCAGCAACCACCCGGAGGAGAATCGCCCCTGGACGTGGCCCGCACACAGCAGCCCAGCCAAGGACACAGAAGCCGGGCAGTGGGGACAAGACTCCACCCTTGCACCCCGTCACATGCAGATGATGCTGTGGGGTGCAGGCGGAGGGCGTGGCTGCCATGGCACTGCAGGGCCGCCTGGGTGATCTGCGACGGGCCATGGAGGTGGTAGGTGGCCCTGCGGGCTGGCGGAGTGGGACGGGGAGGCGGGAGAGCGGGAGTGGGGACAGGGCGGTTTTTGGGCACTCGGTGTCTAAAAGGTTCGCCATCACTGATCTAAGGATAGCTTCCAGACACGGGTAGTTCCTTAGGCTCATCCTCTCGGAGAGAGGTTGGGGTGCTGCAGTGACTTGACAGAGAAGCAAAGCAAGCAGGGTAGGGATCCGCAGTGAGAACAATCAGTTTCACACTGCGGTCATTTTGTGCCGACTCAAGGATAGGTGGAGAGCCCTTCCACTCTGGAGGAAAGCCATAGGCAGACATCCATCTTCTCTGGAGAAGTCCAATTAATGGTGTAAGAGTGTCAAGAATCTACTCTTTTAAAAAAACCCAGCAATATTGACCTTTTAGAGCTTGAGCTGGTGAACCTGGGAGTAGATCTCGGCGGCTCACGCAGAGAAGCTGATCGCTCAATGCGTCTCATGTTTGGAGTGGAACATACAGATGCAGACCTGATGGAAGACACTATCTTGAATAATTACACACACAAACAATATTTCTTCCTATAACTGCTCCTGTTTACACTAAAATGTTGGAAGAAAAACTATTCTGCGCAGTCCTGAGAAACAGCAACTGGCTTTATTCTTTCCTTGAAACCAAAAAAAAAAAAAAAAAAGGATTCTTGGAAGCAACCCATAACTTCTTCACTGATCCACTTGCTTTTGCAAAAGGAGGCCCCAGCCTTCAACTGCTTTAAGACCATTCCAGCTAGGTTAATTTCCAACAGCTTGATGCTTAAAGGTCTTCTCCACTAAAATAAAAAGAGTCAGCCTGCCCCTCATGTTGCTTATGATACACTTTAAGACAGACAAGTGCTCCAAGAAAACATTCCAGTCCAGAGCAAATTCTGATTATCCATCCACCAGTCTCTTTTCCATATTTTCACTCCTCTGCAGAAAAGTCCATTGCACCTTTGGCAGTCAAGCCATGCTCATTCCTTACTGGTTCGTTACTGAGATTTTCCCCCTAAGATGATTCCCCCCCACCCATTTTGGACAGCTGATACTGCTAAGCACTCATCCTCGCCCCTGGAATACTGCCAAGCGTCTCAGCTATCCAGTGGTGCCATCTTTTTATCAATCCCTCTGAGTGGACAAATTCCCTTCATTTTTAAGTACAGTATGAATTAAAAGCAATGATCTGCTCTTACCTGCAGAGAATGCCTTTTTTATCGGTGATGGCAGAAGTCAGTGACTTGGTTTTAAAGATCTGCAAAAAATAATAAGATATATATATATATCTTATTTTCATGGCATTGAATCCAAAGCAACTTTGGGGTAATGAAATACAAACCTGGTGCAGACAAAGGTGCCTTCAAACCTGCAAAGAAAACAGGCTCAAGAAAGCAGAACAGATCATTATCCTTTTTCCCACCTACCTTCTGAGATGTTTTCTTGCTTTGTGTCCCCTGATCCTCTTTTGCTTCCTTATATTCCACAATTGTGGTGACTTTAACTGGAAAGGACATTTGGGTCAAGAGTTAGGAGACTAACAGTGGGTAGAAGTCAGTACAGCTGTCTCTACTTTAGAAATGACATAACATAAAAGTTTAGACCTTAAGGATTCAGTAGCTAATCCTTTTTTTGACATATGCATGGCCCTAATAACCAGCCATTTTTCATCACAACTATGGTAAAAAGGGTTCAAAAGGAGCTGGGTGCGCCATCTCGATCCCCCTTTAAAGTAGCTCCTGGCATTCCCACAATCTCTAGAACTTCTCAGCAAGTAGAACTTGACAGAGAAGTCAAGAAACTGAGGTCCATTTATCTGGTAGGCGTCCAAGCTGTAGAAACTAGAATCAAGCAGACTTTGATGTTTTCCAGAGGTCCTAGACACCATTACTCCCTTCAGCTCCAAAAAGGATCAGTACAGAAGAACTTGGGAAGAGTACAAAAAAGTTTCTTTTGTACGAGGAGGAGCATTTTCAGATTTACCTCGCTTGCTGTTTGTCCTTATTAATCTGGGACTGTGCAGGTTTCCAATGCCACAGTTGCTCTTTAGAGGCGTTGGGGAGAAAAGGGAAAAAATTAAGACCAGCATCCTAGAGATCCCTTCATCCAGATTAGGCACAAATCATCCATTTCTAGCTATATAAAATAATCAGAAATAAGGTTTCGGGATCCTACTAATAGTTCTATATCTGGAAAAAAATCCCAACAGATGTAGATGTTATCCATGACTCCCTTGCGTGTGCGTTTCAGAGACATTTCCTCATCAGACTCCTCCATGCCTCCAACAAGCGCAGAGCTTCTAATGTTGACCACCGGAAAACTTTTTGTTCATTGTGCATTATGTCTCAAATCCTTAGGGCAATTTTACACCATAAAATATTTTATAAAATGCCAAATTTCAATTCCACAGGAGTTATGAGTCCTGGATTTTGGGCACCTTCTGCAAGTTAGCCCATTGGAGGTAGGTTGGTTCAAAAATTGTTCTATGATGCACCGATTCGTCCAGTTAAAGGTTACAGACAAGACAGTTTTAATAGTATATAAATAGAAGAACTAATTCCATCCCCATCAACCTATCAGAGATCTCCCTATTGGTATAGATACAACATACTATTCCCATTCGATGTTTTAATATACTTTGATACAACGGACTCTTTGCAGATACTTACTTTCTCCAAAGTGGCCACAGCTGTTGCTGCAGCTGCATCTTCCTCTTTTAGATCTGGAAGACAGAGATTAAACCATTATGCCAAAGCAGCTGGCTGCCAACTCACAAAAGTGACTTGCATCCTACAGATCAGAAATATCTGGAGCTGGATCACAATTCTCAGGACCCGCATCCGAGCAGGCCAGGAGCAGCAAAGATTGCTAGAAGTTGGAATTTAGCAACTTCTGGAGATGCAGCCATATTTAGCTGCTTTTAGCTTGATCTCAAAATGTTAAGCAGGGATAGTAAATTTGGGGGCTAAGAGTTAAGAATGGGAAATCAAAAGACATCCAGGAAGAAAATAGGAACAATGTCCCGTCCGTTATAAAAAAAAAAAGTTGGACAAATCCATGGAGTTTAGGTAGACCTTCAACCATGGAAAGTCTCTGGCTGGCTTTCACCAGTCACTCTCTCTCTCTCTCTCTCTCTCTGTGGGCCAGGGTGGAAAGAGTACACCGCTTTGAGGTATGGGGGGGAAACAGTTCCCTTCCTCTTATGCCACTTTGTCTGAATTCATAGATATGGAAGCGTTCTCAAGAAGACCAACAACAAAGTAGGGTCTGCAATCTTACAGGTCAAACCCTGCTGTGGAGAAGAAAAACCTGGGCTAGGAGAAGGGAGAAAGCAAGGCGGGCAGCGGGGCCCAGGGCTCACCCAACAAGTCTTTCCTCTTCATTTTTCTCATGGCTGGAGGCAGAGCCAGCAGCTCCACTCTGAAGGCTTTCTCAGCCATCTGGAGAAGTGAAGCCAGTTCTTTTTTCATCTCTTGTAGGTGTTCTTTTGCTTGAACAGAGAAGCAGGTATCAATAGAAGAGAATACCATCTATCAGGGGTGTCCAGCCTTGGCAACTGAAAGACCTGTGGACTTCAACTCCCAGAATTCCCCAGCCAGCCATGCTGGAAGTTGAAGTCCACAAGTCTTAAGGTTGCCAAGGTTGGACACCCCTTCTCTATACGGAGCTCAGGGTTGAACTTGTGAGGTCCTTGATGCTCTCCAAATGTGGTTATTTGCTTGCAGGTGTTTTGTTACCCAGATGAAAACCGCCAAGCTGAGAGAGCACCAAGGACTCCACAGAGAAGCAGGGGATGAAAAGGGTGTCAACCTTTTCTCCAAAGTAGTTGGGGAAATTGATGGGGAGGACGGCAGGGAGAATATGAAACACAGCTTGCTTCACCCTGGCTTGCAAACAAGGTTCATGCAAGGTGCAAACGCAAAGCTAGCCTCATTGGGGTCAGCCAATTGACACCCAGAACAACTTGCACCACCAATGAAGGGTTACTGAATAAACCACAATGGGCAAGGCTCTCCCCAAGGATAATCCATAAATACCACTACTAATCAAAGGGATGAAGTTCTCACACGGGGTGAAGCCAAAACCAACTATAGTATCTTGTAGTTTAGCATGAGGGCATCACACCGTCTCCTAACTTCTCCTGCCAACTTACGGGATGTCAGACTCTTAATTCCCATGAATCCCAGGTCTCAGCATAATGGTTCTTGTAGTCCAACAGAACGTCTGAAGATCTTTGGTTGGGGAAAGATGGAAGAACACCCCCCCCCCTTTAGGGAGACACACGTGTGAAGGAAGGAAGGAAGGACCACAACGGGATGCGCCCCTTTCTTGAAGCCTCACCTTGGTGGTCGAAATCCTGCAGAAAGAGGCTGATCCGTTGGTGCCTTTGCTCTTTGCTCAAGACGTTCCGATCCGGTTCGACTCCGGAGTCGGCGCTGCGCTTCTTGGCGTCTTCCAGCTGCTTCCTGAGCGCCATGGAGGACTGAGCCTGGCCGGACCACCTCCGAGCCCGCGGGACGATGCCTCCCCAAAAGAAACGCAGGTGAGGGGGGAATATTTATAGAGACCCGCCCCTCTGGTAGACACGCCCCCTAGGAGCCATGGGGCAGTGGGGGGGGTGGTAGGGGCGATTCCCCAGCTTTGGGGGCGTAGAAGCAACACAGAGAGATTCAGGTGGGCTGGACCTTTGTTGAAAAAGTTTTGGGGTTTGTTTGTTTGTTTGTTTGTTTGCAAAGATGGGGTGGGGCAGATCTGCACCTGCTAATTCAGATTGCCCGGTCAACAACCAAAGGAGACCGGGCTGGGGAGACAATGGGAGCTATATTCCCATTCTACACCCACCCCCCCACCCCAAAACTTGAAGGTCTGAACTGGAGTCAGGCTGAGTTCCAGTTATGCACCTGTGGGTAATGCTTTAAACCTGGTTACTGTGTTCTGTCTGGGTTTGCAGCCTGTAGGACCAGAAGCTGATGCAACCGGCTGGCTTTGCAAAGGATCTCTAAACCTACTGGGAATGAACGCCGATCAAGGTTAAAAGTAACCAAGATTTAACATGTAGAGATTCATATAGCTTTTGCGTCTCAATTGGAGTGGCAACCAGCCAGTTGACTATGGTTTTTCTGAATTCAGCGCTTGGTTCAGATAGCACACATGAATGATAAGTGAACTATTGTTTGGATTTGACCAGCAGTTGGGGGGGGGGGGCAACAGCCAATCACATTTATATTAGGGTGCTGAATTAACTCAGGCATCCACTTTTTTTTTCCTCCATGCAAGCCTGACCATGAGAAGTTGGAAAATGGACTAGCATGAGCCCAATCATGGTTAAGCACTGCACTGGTTGTGATGTGTGAACCAGGGTACCCTACATCATACAAATAATTAAATGACTTCCACAGTTCATAATAGCTCTTTTATTAGTAAAAATTTAAAAAGTCATCCAAGAACAGGATGAAGAACACCAGAAGGCAGGAAAAACAAACCCATGACCAAACATCGTAATGTTCGCTTGCCGTGGTAATCAATTCTTGACATTAAAAAAAAATGAAACGGCTCCTACAGTTTAATTATTTTGAAACCATCCAAGGATCATATCCATCAAGGCTTGGAAGCAGATCTGAGAAAATGACCATCACTAGCCAAGGACAATTAAATGGCATGTTAACTTCCTTGCAGTAATGACCAATGTGACAAATCAGCCTTAACAATGATTATATTATGCACCATGATCAGAGATGTTATAAACTCCAAAATATCAGAAATCCAAAGGCACCATAAAATACCGTTTCTGAGTCACAAGGAAAGCTAGAAGTTGGTGTTTTACAGTTGAGAGTAAATTAAAAGTATCACTACTTCCCACTTTTAAAAAGTGCAAAGAAGTAAAATTTCAAAGTCTCTCTGTAAAAGCATGAGTTAGAAACATGTAAACTTGACATCATTTTCAGTAGCATTAAAAAGTTACCACAAGAGAAAAACAAAGGACTACAAATACTCACTTCCCATCCATACCATCTGAAAATGTTTACTTACAAAAATATTTTTAATTGCAACTGCTCTGGATGAAGCCTTAACATTCTCTTGCATTGGTTGACTACATTCATGTAGTACATGGCAACTTAAAAGATTTGGGGGGAAATTGCCACGGCTTTGAGAATTGCTATCACCCTCCTATAAATTGATGTCATCAACAAAATACCAAATATGATTTAAGAGGCAGCCAATTGTAATTTATAGTATAATCTAAGGCAGTCAGTTCAGAATTCAACGAAACTTGCACCCAACCAAGCATATCATTAAGAAAACAGTGCGGTCAAGTAATTTCCAACAGAAGAGATGTTTGGTATGAAACTTTTGGGAAACTGACTCAGCTACTCAAAATGACATATAATCTCGGTAATTAAGAAACCTTTTGAGGACTGATGGTACATTTTTGATATAATTCGTAACAACTCGACCAACATGACAAAGTTCAATATGAGATCTTCAGATGCCTTGAATCCATAATTCCCATTGTATCTGAACAGCATTAGGTGGGAAGCAATTCTAAATCTTATTTTATGATACCCAAGTATAAGAGAAGTTTTAAAGGTTGAGAAGAGGGATTTCAAAACACAACTAATGGATATTTCAGTCTTATCTGGCAAAGAGCCATTAGCCCTTTGGTGAAGCAATCTGGGAAAAAGAAGAGAATTTTTCTTCTCTTGGAATTCAGCCCGATTAATGAAACTCCATATGAATTTTTCCTTCTACTGTACGGTGGAATCTTGTTATTAGAGGCTTGACACCAAGAGTCAAAGTAAGCAAGTGACATCCCATTTAGACATGTGAGAAACATTTCTTTTGCTATCCTGTTCCGTTATTTGTGTTTTCATGTACATGGATCAGCCTTCCAACATTAAACAACATTTACCCAATTAAGAAATTTGAGTGAATAGTTTCTGAACAGTTGAAATTCGACAAGCAGAAACACAGTTTGAAGCAGACTAAGTTTCCAACCAAGCCCTAGTTTAATAACAATTTAAATTCAAATCACGGTCCTGGAGGAATCTGAATATTCAGGGAGGCAACATCAAATTGGACCCTTTCTTATTGTTCAGTCTTGTCTATGTTGGCCCCTTTAAGATTATGCAAGGGCAATCAGAGACCTTTTCATGAAGAACAGCGATCAAGAAAACCAGAAGTTTTTATGAGCAAATGTTCCTCTGTTATCATCAACTTTTGTTTAGTATGCAAAGATGTAATCCAACATCCCAATAAGGGCTTCTTTTGGTTTGGACACTTTATCCAAAGTAACCAGACATTTATTTTCCAAAATGTTCCTACTCAGATTTCTGCAACAGAGTTGTTCCCCGCTTCCCAATTTATTAAGAACCAGCACTCATCATGGCTAAAGGAAGCTTAAACTCAATATTTTTAGTTTGGAAACAGCTGGCTAAAATTAAGTAGGAGTTTAAGTATTGTTATAACCCCCTAAGTCTCTTTCTAGCTCTCCTCCTTTTACTTATTTTTCAGCCATGCTTGTAAACAGTGGAAGTGACCTATCTTCTTATCAAAGATGATAAATGTTGTATTTTGCAGGTTGAGGCAGCATTGCCAGAAATTCAAAAGGCACTGAATTCATTCTGATTGTCAGAACAAGATCTTGAGCCTCTTCTTTGATCCCGAAACAGGAGATTTTTAATACTTTTATTTGCAAAAAAAATTCTGGGTTCATCTCCCTTAGATAGGCTCACCAGAAGAGTTCCAAATAATTTCACCTGTGCTTTTAGCTTACCTGTACAACTGTAGTTTCCTAAATTGGTTTGGTAGGAAAGAATATTGTGATTTTTTTTTTAAAGAAAAGCATAAAGAATGTTTATCGGCACCAAGGCAATCAAGTTTTACTTTCATGCTGAGGGACTGAGGCAATTTTTGTGACATCTCAATTGGCAACCAATGACTGCGTTAATAATTCTTTTAATACATTTCCCGTATCTTCTTTTCGTAGGTTTGTTCCCGTCTTTTACTAGTCTTTTCTATCAAACTGGAGCTCCAGTAATTGTAATTCTATCACGAATTTGATTAAAAAAAGACCGCCCCCTCTGAAAATCTTATTTTTCTGTCGCAGCTTGAATGCACTTTCAAAGATACAGTCTAAAAAAAAAACAAGGAGTCTTTATTTTAAGAGAATTCCTCCAGAAATTTTATATGGAAATCGTTCACTTTCTGCAATAAGATCTTTAGTTTCTCTACTTGTGGGAGAATCGTCATCCTAGAAGGAAAAAAAAAAGTACTTTAGTGAACATCTTGTGGTGATTACAAGGAAATAATTTCATTGTGACAGTATCTGTAAGTCCAGACCTTACCTAAAGTGATAAGTTCCTTCTCTTTGACCAAACCCGCTTCCAGGAACAACACAGATTCCGGTTTCTTCTAAAAGTTTCATACAGTAGAACATGTCGGGAGCCATTTGGTGGACCTGGAGTAATTTGAAGTTCAATGGCTTAATTACTAATCGCACAGTCCTTTCAAAATTCTCTGCTTGTTTCTGAATATTGTGCTATTCTGAAATGATTAAAGAGGTTCTGAATGCTCTCATGTTCAGATACGACCATGTGTTTTCTTGCACCCGCGTGGTTTAGCACCTTACACTGGGTGTAGGTTTAAAAGAAGCAGTTGGGCATGGGCAGGATCGCCAACTACAGGCAATGCTCAACGTACAACAGTTCGTTTAATGATTGTGCAAAGTTACAACAGCACTAAAAGCAGTTACCTATAATCGTTTTTCACACTTATGACAATGGCAGCACTGGTCCCTTGATCAAAATTCAGTTGCTTGGCAACTGACTCATATTTATGACGGTTGCAGTGTTCCTTGGGACACTTCTGACAAGCAAAGTCAATCGGGAAGCCAGATTCACCGAACAACTGTGTTACTAATGTAACAACTACAATGATTCACTTCATAACCGTGGCAAAGCAGTTGAGGATTACCTGTACACAATATCTTTTTTAGAATGAACCTTCAGATGAATGAACCCTGTGTTTTTCATCTCAAATGTCTTGGTGATGGACTTCAAATGTGTAGGAAAGGATGCTGATTTCTAGAAACTATGGACTCAGATAAGGGCCTGAGGTCTGTACTAAATGATTGGGCACCACGGGAAGTAAAAAGAGAAGGATACCACCACCAAACCTAATAAAACATGCCACATCTATTCTTTTTCTATCCCATTGTTTAAAGCAGGGGCCTTCAAACTTGGCCCCTTTTATGACTTGTGGACTTCAACTCCCAGAATTCCTCAGCCAGCGTGGGAGTTGAAGTCCACAAGTCATAAAAGGGGCCACGTTTGAAGGCCTCTTGCTTTAAAGGCACGTTCTCCAAGAAGCAAGCATAACTATCTTTTCATTCACTGGAAGAGCAGTGCAATTTGGTAACACGTAAGATATTTAGCGGATAAACCAGCTTGTCCAATACTTTAGGCCAGGGATAGGCAACCTTGGCTCTTTTATGACTTGTGGACTTCAACTCCCAGAATTTCTGAGTCAGCATGGCTGGTTCAGGAATTCTGGGTATTGAAGTTCACAAATCATTGACAGTTAGAACAATTAACCAGTGGAACAACCTGCCTCCAGAAGCAGTGAATGCTCCAACACTGGAAGTTTTTAAGAAGAGACTGGACAGCCATTTGTCCGAAATGGTATAGGGTTTCCTGCCTGAGCAGGGGGTTGGACTAGATGACCTCCAAGGTCCCTTCCATCATCATCATCATCATCATCATCATCATCATCATCATCATCATCATCATTATTATTATTATTATTATTATTATTATTAAAGAGCCAAGGTTGCCTACCTACCCCTGTTCTAGGCTCACATTCTCATCATGGATAGTACTGCCCACATAACGTAGTTTTATTAGCGAAATGGCCAATGTAACATATAAAGTCTAGCTTATGTGCAAACTCAGCCAGTTTTGGTTCCATTAAGAAAATGGAACCGTTTTGGCGCACAAATGTTCTATCTAAAGCAGGCGAACAATCTCCAGTTTGATTCAGCAGCAGCAGCAGCAGCAGCAGCAGCAGCAGCAGCAGCAGCAGCATTTCTTGTAGAGAAACGAGACATTCTCACCTTGGCTATTTCAACGGCCTTGGCAGGGATAAAAATTTGTGGGAACGCATACATGGCTCCTTGAAGTGGGTTGCAGTGGAGCCCTGGCACTTGATTGAACAAGTCTTCGGTTAGTTTGGCTTTCATTGCAAGGTTGTTCAAGACCGACTCCTTTTCCTGTGTCGGGAAAAGGGAAAGAATGTCACACAAAGAACACCTGAACTGGGCAGCCCAAACCAGCTGGCACTATACAAAGATGATCAGGGGACTGGAGGCTCAAACATATAAGGAAAGGTTGCTGGAATTGGGTAGGTCTAGTTTAATGGAGAGAAGGACTAGGAGAGACATGATAGTCGTGTTCCAGTATCTCAGAGGCTGCCCCAAAGAAGAGGGAGTCAAGTTATTCCCCAAAGCGCCTGAAGGCAGGACAAGGAGCAACGGATGGAAATTGATCAAAGAGAGAAGCAACCTAGAACTAAGGAGAAATTTCCGGGCAGTTAGAACAATTAACCAGTGGAACAACCTGCCTCCAGAAGAATGTCAAATACACGCACAAACCTTAATAAACTGGGCATATGATTCTTCTCCAGGAACAGGGGGGTTCACGACAACATCCATAGCAGCTTGACCGGAGACAGGTGGACACAGACGGACAGAGAGGAGCTTAACTAGCTGCCCTTTAATTTCTGGATGCAGGTTTATCACCTCCATGTAGCCTCCTCGGTAGCCACACCTGAAAACCAGGTAGAAGCAGCAGGAACAGAAAAGAGAAGAAAAGGAGAAAGAGGGGAAAAAAACGTGCTGGTGAGGAAAACTTAGCACGAAATTCTCGCAATGGCAGAAATGCAACCTATAAAATCCACAACTAATGCAGCATCCTATTTTAATCTTTTTATTGCAAGAAAGGAATGGCAACTGCTTGGTGGATTATGCCAGCATATAAGCCAAGGCTATGCATTGTGGCAGGAAGTTAAAAAAAAATACGGACATAAACTTTCTTTTCTTCCCTTCAATAAGTACTACCGTACCCAAATAATAGAAGGTACTACTTGTTTTGCAATAGTAAATTATTTTTTTTTCAAAAATCAACCTGCCACACCTGTGCAGTTCAAGCCCCAGCCCTTTTATGACAAAAGAAGTGAGGTGTTGACTTTGTTTGACCATCCCACGGAAGCCACAGCAAGGGATTTAAGTAAATTGGATATTGCATAGCAAAAATTCCGTACTCAGTTGGGAAACTTACTCGCCCATGTAGCCCTTGGAAGTGGAATGAAAAGAAGCAAGTTCAACATTGTTCCAATAATCGGGTCCCATTTCATAGAGGATTTTTTTGAAGGAGTGGAACTGGCAGTTCTCCGCATAGACGTTGTCTTGATAAACCTGCACCCCAGAAAGAGACAAAATGCAGGGAGTCCTCAACTTAATCACCATAATGGTAACCTACCCGTTATAGTCGTTAAGTTGTGATGGTTATAAAGTGGGTCATCACATGACTCACCCAATTTTATGACCTTGCTTTGCAGCGGATGGTAAGCGAATCACCATTACCCTGAACCCATTGTTTGCTATGGGGCATTTTTTTGCTAAAAACTGCCAAATAAATGCCAATTTTCAGCAAAAAAACCCGTTGTAAATGATGGGATGCATCTAGAGCCATAAAGGTGGGTCAGTTGCTGAGCGTCCAAATGTGATCACATGACCACAGGGGAGACCTCCCCCTTTGGAACCAGGTTGTATCTATCTTTCGGGGGGGTCCGTAATAACTTCAAACAGTTACTAAGCAAAAAGCAACGTTGCTTTTTAGGACTCAGTTATATGACAGCGAACATTTTTGAGCTTTTGATGCTCCTCAGCTCGTGTGTTCAGAGAAAGCCCTTTTTATACCCAGCAATTTTCTTTTCTGATCCCCCCTCCCCATTTTTTAACATTCTTTTAATATAAGTAAAAACATTGCTGTGCTCCAAATGAAGTCCCCCACTCTAACATTCTCCTGAGTTGCATATGGGTCTCTGGGTCTTCGGTCAATAAGCAAGTATGCATTGAAACACCTCATTTTAATTTCCTAAGAAAAATCGTGAAATCTACGGAGGACCCAGGAATAGGTGTATATTTCTCTAGGACAGTGGTGGCGAACCTATGGCACGTGTGCCAGACGTGGCATTCAGAGCCCTCTCTGTGGGCATGCGTGCCGTCGCTTCAGTCCTAGGCCTTCAGCTGGGTTTTATAAAACCTTTTCGCTTTAGGCCTCTGCCGCCGTGTAAAAAAAAAAAGGTTCAATCAATCAGTCAATTTCAACTTCTCGCAGGAAAAAAAAATATCTGGCAAAGTTGGAATTGATTGATTGAACTTTTTAGTCCCACCCAGTCTGTTGTTTAGTCCCCCGCAGCCATGCCCAGCCAATGGGCCACACCCACCCGACACCCAACGATGCATAAGTGGGTTTTGGGTTGCAGTTTGGGCACTCGGTCTCTAAAAGGTTCGCCATCACTGCTCTAGGACAAATAATGCATCAATCTGTCTTTTCGTATCTGGAAGTTTTGTGATCGGCCTCACTGATCCTCCTGCTCATTTTGCAAGGACATCACAGCGATACATGCTCTCCAATATCCAGATAAGATGTTGCCTCCAAGGCTGAACATTTTCATTACCTCGTCAGCCAGAAGAAACAGTTTCTCTTCCCAGGCAAAATGTATGACCTCTTCAATACATTTTCGATTTTGAACTTGACCTACAATTCAGGAAGAAACAGGGGAAAAAAAGTTTCAAAGCAGTCCTCCTTTCCAATGAAACAGAGAATACGTCCAGTGGTGGGATTCAGCTGGTTTGTACCAGTTCGGCAGAACCGGTAGCTAATTTTTTGTTCCCCAGGCCCACAATGGACTTCCGGAAGTGGCATCCACGCAGAGAACCGGTTGTTCCCATATTTGAATCCCACCACTGGATACATCAATAATTTCTTCATTCCAAAACAAAAGAACAACTGTCTCAGCGTTAGGTGTGAGGGTCAGGGAGGGTGTGAAGGGTGCACAAGGCTGTGAGGGATGCACAGCAAGAGGAACATGGGGAGGGTGCAAGGAGCTGCTCAAGGGAAGCGTGGCGAGGGTTGGGAAGGATGCACAGGAAGTGTGGCGAGGCTCCGGGAAGGTTTGAGTGGCATGCAAATGGCCAGCACAAGTTGCCACAAAGAAAAGTCAAGCTATTCTCCAAAGCACCTGAAGGCAGGACAAGAAGCAACGGATGGAAACCAGTCAAGGAGAGAACCAACCTAGAACTAAAGAGAAATTTCCTGCCAGTGAGAACAAATATCAGTGAAATAGTTGCCACCAGAAGCTGTGAATGCTCCAACATTGGAAGTTTTTAAGAAGAGACTGGACAACCATTTGTTTGAAATGGAATAGGGTTTCCTGCCTGAGCAGGGGGTTGGACTAGAAGACCTCCAAGGTCCCTTCCAACTTTATTATTATATTATGTGCAGAGCAGCTGGGAGAAGGTGCATAGGTGGGGGAGACTTACCAGTGACTTTTTTCAAGAGGCAACTGAAGTTTTGGGTTTGTTTTTTCCTTTTGAAGTTTCGCTTCTCATCCCAGAAGCTCCTTCAGCTCCTTGGATGAGAAGCAAAACATCTTCAAAGAAAAAAACCCAAAACTCCAGTTGCCTCTTGAAAAAGCACCTTTGGGACAACCATGACCTGGATGACTGAGAGTCTCCATAGACATCCCAGTGACTTGTGACCTTTCCTGCCAGCTTCCCCATTGACTTTCTGGGGAAGACGGCAGGAAAAGTTGCAAACGTCAATCATACTATCACTGCAACCAGTTGTAAGTGTGAGCCAGCTGCGCACAATCACATGACTGCAGAGACACTGAGATGACTGGCACTCTGAGGACCGGTCATAACCACCGTTTGTTCAGCACTGTTGTGACTTTGACTGGTGGCTGAACAATGCTTGTAACTAGAGGACTGCCTGTACAAAGACATCATGATTTACTACAACCAGGCCGTAGAGAAAGGACACAGAAAAGTGTGAAGAGCAGACCTGTAGAGGTTTTGCACACCTGTGGGGTTTCCAGGATTAATGATGCAAAGAACCTTGGGGTTACAATACGCTTTGGCTTCATATAAAGAGCGGCGTAATTCGTTCGCATCTAGGGCCCAGCAGTTCTCTTCGTCCAGGTAATAGTTCACCTGGATGGCATCCAATTCGGAAATGGCGGCTGAATATAAAGGATACTGAGGAATTGGGATCATCACTCCAGTTCGGGATCTCCCACCTCCCGAGATGAGGATCTTGAGAATGGTCTGGAAGATTGAAGAAAGATAACTCTGGTTATGGCTGGCTGAGGAATTCTGGGAGTTGAAGTCCACAAGTCATAAAGTGGCCCAGGTTGGGGACCCCTGCTTTAGAACATGGGGTACCTTTTATCAATGGTTGGAAAAATGAGTTAGAGAGAAAGGAATTTAACATGTATTAGTAAGTTAAATGTTGGAACCTAGACAATGGGTTGCTGATAAAATATTAAGCACTTCTGATTATAAAAAAAAATAATAAAAATATATGTATATAAATAGAAGATGCCCCCAATGCCACCTACAGCAATGCCATCGCTTGCTCCCGTGGTCAAATAGATGTTCTCTGGATCTGCAGGGACGCCACCATCTCGCCGCTCAATGTACGCCGCGACATCTTCACGAATGCAATTGATTCCTTGGCTGGCGCTGTACGAACCTGTGCAAGGAAGGAAAATGTCAGCCTCCAAAACCCGCAAAAGACATGTTGGGATTCTTCTAAGACGTTTCCTTTATTGTTCCTAACCCTCGATCGGTTCACTTCTGCCCATCAAATAAACCCTTTGATCGATTAACATAGTCAGAGAGAATAAAGATTAAATCTGGAGTAGATTTCCCCCACCCTTCTTCCGTCTCCACTTTGAAACCAAAACAGATCAAGCAGTATATTTGTCACTTCAAGTTGAGGCTCAATGCACAAACGTTGCTCATCATGAACACTGAGGACATTACCTAGTTTGGTAATGAAACGTCTGCAAGAAAACCCTCCAGTTCAGACAGCACTAAGAACCCCCCCCCCCCCCAGTCACACTCCTCTTGGTGAGAGCACAAAACACTGGTCCTTTACAACAAACAGAATACAAATATACCCAGGACACACAGGTACCAGGAGAGCTTTGAGTAACAATTTGGAGAAATCTGAAGTTCAGATTTATATTTCAGCTGTACCTTGTAAAGTTTTTTTTTAAACCAGAGCTGTTATTTATTATTTTATTCTAAAAATTTTAACTGGATATTCTTTGAGTGTTTTAACTTGTTCTGGTCTCTGGTCTTTTGACTGCAATAAACTTACTAGACTTGACTTGACTACCAGAGCCACAGAGATATTCCCTTTGTGAGCATTTCAACTTCGTTATGCACTCTGCCGATGCTGTCCAGATCCTGGAATTTTGGAATATATTTGGAATGTTGTTTTTTTTAACCCTCAAGACTACAGAGAGATTATGGCCCTGCCATAGTGACTCAAGGATCAATGACGTCCTTCTTTCATATCAAAATAGTTAAGTGTTTTTTGTTGATATCAGAGTGGCCAATGACAAGATGCAGTCAAAGCATCTCCAATAATCCCAGGAGATTCAACCTTGCAGGCAAAGAATAAAAAAAGAGAGGACAACTGGTTCCTCAGACATGACGACGCCACGTACCTTAGCATATACATACGAGGATTGTCTTGTGTCAGTGTTGCCCAATTATGCTTCCTTATACATCAAGTTGAGCTAGTTTTAGAGTTTAAGTGTTACTAAGGAAACTTAGAAAAATATGTGTGGACCTAAGGAAGTGGGTGAACGACCAGAAGGAAAAAGAGACTCGGATAGACTGGCCTTGTTGCTACTGTCATTCAACTCTGCTAGCATTTTGCATTCCAATTTGAGATGGGAAAGGTGTGTTTCATTTGTGTCGAATGTTAAAACTGCGAGACATTTCCACTGGAAAATTTCTAAATTTTTCTGACCGTACCTCAATAATTTATTCCAGTTTAAACTCTTTCCTAGACACAATGACCCGGGAACATCTTGAACTGATGTTGACAATGATGAGCGTAACACATCACTCTATGTTTCTCAACCTTGGCAAATTTAAGATATGGAGACTTCAGCTCCCAGAATTCCCTCAGGCCCGGCGTGCAACTTATCTAGCTAAGTGATCGTATCCAAAATGGTTTTATCGTGTAGCAAGCAATAAGAAATGAAACAACTGCAACGTGAAAAGAAACGGAAAAGAAGGTAAAGTATGCAGGAAATTGGAAGAAAACAAAAGATCACGATTGTACTGGAAAATTATCAATTAAAAAAATCTGGGGTTTTTTTCAGGTTGCATCTAGCCCAAAGAATGACCGCTAACAGGAGAGGGCCAGATCTAATGTGAAAAAATGATTGAAGTACCTAAGCTGTTGCCTCCACAGCCTTGCAAGATCCGTCTTGCCCTCTTCTTGGAATCTTCTGGGAAACTGGGGCTGTCCAGCAGGTTGGGGTAAGTACAAAGCGCCACCACCTACATCGCCCAAAAAACATAGAGAAAGAGATGAATTCCATAGGACACAACTTTAAACCAGCCATTCAGAGCGACCTATAAAATGATTCCAATCTCACTCTAAGTCCTCAGTGCACAGCTATTTATTTAGTTACAATGGCACTGAAAAAAGGGGACTTAAAAGGATCGTTTTTTCCCACTTATGACTGCTGCAGCATCCTCATGATCAGGTGATCAAAATTCAGGCGCTTGGCAACTGGCATGTACTTAAGACAGTTGCACTGTCCCAGGGTCAGGTGAATAATCTTCCCAGCCGGCTTTGGACAAGCAAAGCCAATGGGGGAACGCCAGACTGACTTAATGATCACATGATTCGGTTAACACCTGCAGTGAATCACTTAAGAACTGTGTAAAAGGCAACAAAACTCACTTAATGCTGCTTTGTTTTTAACAATGGGGAAATTTTGGAGTCTGTTGTGGCCGACTTGTTTCTCAACTACTTGGCAACCATACTTTTGCTCCAATTTGCTCAAGTTAGCTCTGTGACACTCGCCAGTGCGTTTCTGACACACACACACAACATCCCAGAAGTGCTTGCTATCTCGATGGTATCCTTCCCGGTTTCTTAAATAAAGATCCATGTTAGCAGCTTGATTATTTCCCCCCCCTCCTTGCTTTAGTTTCCAATCTGGAGAGACAGTACTTAGCTGTCCACTTTGGGATAATAGCAGATCCCATTCCTTAGGGCAGTGGTCCCCAACCTTTCCACCTTGGCAGCCCAGTCCGGCACTCTGTGTGTGTGTGTGTGTGTGAGTGGCAGGTACATGCACACATAGCTTCATTGGTGTGAGCAGCGGTTGCACACGCCCTCCACTTGCGCTAGTGGAGCTGTGTGCGCAGGTGGTGCGTGAAGCTCCACTCGCGCAAGCCAAGGGCAACTTATCCTCACATGCAAAGCTCCATTCGCGCAAGTGGCGAGTGCTTGCGCATGAAGTTCCGTTTGTGCAAATGGAGCTTGGCATGCGAGCACAAACACCCTCTGCTTGTGCGAGTGGAACTTCGCTTGCCCATTGTTCATGCCCCCCCGTTTCGAACAGGCCACGGCCCGGGGGTTGGGGACCCCTGCCTTATGGCTTTGGCTGCCTTTCCTCAAGGGGCTTCTGGTCTTCCTCCAGCCGTGTCCTCCTACCTGTCGAAGGAAGGTGATGGGCTGCTGTCCCATGGCATGAGCATCACCAATGTTGGCCTTGATGACTTCTGTGAAAGGTTTTTTGATGCCCTGAAGAGAGAAAAAACAAACCTGTTAGGCAGCAAATCCAAGCTTTGTAGAACCCAACGCAACTAGGAAGACACAAAACTGATCCGACCCTCTCTTTTATGCAGACCACTTAAAACAGGGGTCTTCAAACTTTTATGATTTGTGGACTTCAACTCCCAAAATTCCTCAACCAGCTACAAAAGGGCCAAGTTTGAAGACCCCTGACTTAAAATATTTGTGGACCATTCCTCAGGTATTAGTAACATGGTGCTTGCACATCACATATTCTCCTCCGTTCCTAAAGTTATTTTCAATATCCCTGGATGATTATGACTTTATTGAAAAGTCACGAGAGCTGAAATTCTTATACAGGATTTCCTGCCCCTGCATGAAATAGCCTCCGTATATGGACCAGCCCATACCTGTGTCTTTAAAACCAAATAAGGTCAACCAGCTTTTAAAGTAGTGGTATTGCTGGTTTTTTTCTTAATAAAAGCCAGTCTCAGTGTAGGAGGTATAAAGTTCTTTGTTCATGTTTTGTCATCTTAGAAAATGTATTGAAAAGGACCACTGATGACATAAGAGGCCGTAGGCAAGTCATGGGAACACTGAACACTTGTGCATCCTTTCCCACTTCCATGTTTGGTTTAATAATATACTGGTTGGATAAACAGGCGGCTTACTGGTCTTAAGTCCAGAAGTCCATTTAGCCCAGCTTCTGACAGCAGTCAATCAGCTGATGTTCAGAAAACTAGAACAGGATATGATTGTGCTGGATTTTTCCTACTACGGCAGGAGATATTATTCAAAAGTATATGGCTGCTAAAATCAAGACAGTCCATGCAGTTGAAGATTAGGGGTTTGTATGCAATATGGCGAAACCAGCTTTCCATGATGAGAAATGGCATAACGTCTAGGTTTATTTGGAGCGTAAATGTGCTTTAAAATCTCACTGATGCCATCCCAAAATCCTAAAGCTTGAGTTGACAAACTTGCTTATTGGTTCTTCTGCTGCTGGAGTAATCTATATAAATAAAAATGTAAATGTTCGTTTGTTCAAAATCTTAAATCTCCGAAAGTTCTTCACCGATTGCTTTGAAATTTTGACACAACGTTGCATTCGAATACGCGCATGTTTTTATATACCTACTATTATATAGATGTCACACCTGTGACAGGTAAAAACATGCTTTTTTTGAAAAACAGCGCCATCTGTTGGACGTAAAAGCAACACACGCTTTTACCAGACTGAACCACAGCAACGCGTGGCTGGATACAGCTAGTATCTTATAAAAATGTAAGGCACCATTCTCTCTCTCTCACTTAAGAACAAGTTCCCTGCAGTAACAACTTCATATCTGGATGGTTATTATAGGATGTAAATGATTTCTCTTTACATCAGTAAAATTTACCGAAAGAGGATGAACTTTTTTACAAATACCACAAATTTGTTTATTACCTATTTATATTCCATTCCCTATTTCCCCTGCCAACTGCCGCTTTTCTTGTTCCTCTCTCTTCTACGTTTTAGATTCCTATCTTCTCCTTCTTATAATAAAGGCCCAATTCACTCTATTTGCAGCTAGTTTCATCCTATACAGCAAATGATCATTTGAGGAAGCCCTTCAAAACGAGGTGATGCAAATTCTAACACACATTCCTGTATTTGGAGGCTTACCCAAACAAAACAAACCGACCTGTTTAAACACAACATGACATTTCAACCAAGTCATGGGGTTGGCAATCTTAGAAACTGGAGTGAAGACTGAACATGCATCAATACCAGATTATGTAAATGAATAACTTAACTGGTACGATCACAAGCAATCTCGAGCAGGAAAAGAGAGAAACACATCTCGTTTTTAGTCTGCAAACTTTATTTTTTAACTCGGATGCTATTGCTTGTTCTCTAATAAGTCAGAATTCTGAAGCAAAACCTCGGGTCCAATTCTGGTTCAGAAGATAAATAAAGAACTTCTGGTTTGAATGTAACACTAAGAAAACCACAGCAAGTTTCCCTGATGGGTTTAGCCAAAAATGAAGCTATCCTACAGAAGCCAAAAATGAGAGACACCACGATGCTAATTCAAACTCCATCAATTCAGTCTCAATTAACGCTGGACTTTTCTGATTCCCGACGAAGTCCTAACTTTGATACCAAAGGACTTCATTCTTTCCTCTCAGGCTGAACTTGAAAGGTGCTTCTTTCTTGATCTGGAAGATGAAACATGGAAGGGCGCGCAGCATTTTTTAATTTATAAAAGGAATAAAGGAGTGCTTTCAAGGATGGATGTTTTTGTTCTAACACCGCACTACACACGGCATTATTGAGGCTCAGTTTGCATGATACAAAATACACATTGAGGTAGGTGTACGCTGAGATCGCCGTACCGCACAAAATTGCACCCACAAAAATCAAACAAGGGAACACCTGGCTGACAACAATCATCTGCAATCAAGCATTCCTTTGATGTTAGCACTTGTTTTTGTTTTTTTTTTAAAAAATAGCAGGCACATTTTGCAAAACAGCAATATCTAAAAGAGGGTGGGAGATGTTTTTACAGTTTTCCATCGGGGTGTTCAAAGCTATTTATGATCCAAAAGCTGAGCTGGATCTCGGTCTCCCATTAAGAAGTACAAAGGCTGGAATTAGGAAAATGTTTTTTCTCCTCTGAAGAAAAACATCCAAGAATGCATAGTTATACTTTAAGGCAAGGACTGACACACATTCAAGACTGAAGATCCTAAATGTGTGTGCCCCCCCCCCCCCAAAAAAAATCTAAGCAAGTTCTGGCAAAGAACATAACTTGTCTTCTTCTCCAACACTATAAGAACAGCAGGAACGAGAATCTAAACGCCATCCAAAAAAGGAATGTGAAGATAAGCACAATTTGGAAAGCTAATTTCAAGTAGGAAGTCTCTTTTTGCAAAGAACAACAAACTCTGTGCAATACAGTTGCCAATCCTTGTGGGGTTCCTGGGTGAAAGGAAAGTGAAAAGTTGAACATCTTTCCATCTCTAGCAGCGAAAGCCTAAACCACAAATTTTCTGCTGTTTCATTCTGGTATTTCCACTTAAGCACCCGCTGCTAAAAAGCTACAGTTTAAATTTTTTTTGGATTGACTAAATGTATACAATGTGCATCTCACTATCGATTCTGGAGGTTACATGAGTTCAGTCAAGAAAAAAAAAATAGGTAGATCTTGCCTAAAAAAAAAAAATAGAATAGAATAGTTCTGGAAGGGACCTTGGAGGTCTTCTAGTCCAGCCCCCTGCTCAAGCAGGAGAACCTATACCATTTCAGACAAGTGACTGTCTAGCCTCTTCTTAAAAATCTCCAGTGATGGAGGGCCCACGATTTCTGAAGGCCAGCTGTTCCACTGGTTAATTGTCCTCACTGTTAGGAAGTTTCTCCTTAATTCCAGGTTGCTTCTCTCTTTGATTAGTTTCCAACCATTGTTTCTTGTCCTGCCCTAGTACAAAGCACATTCCGCATTTTACTTAAAATTCCAAAAAGTCCACAAGTCTTAAAGCTGTCAAGGTTGTAGACCCCTGCTATAGAGATCAGCTGAGGAAAAAAAAAATCCTTCTGAGAGCTCAAGTGGGAATTGTTCCTAAGAAAGCCTGCCAACAATTGACACCCGAATCTCCTGTTATCACGCTGCAGATGTTAACAAGGTCTGTTTGTCTTGTGGGCTGCTGTTTGCATTCATAAGGCATGTGCGTAATTCAAAGTGAAGTCACAATGAGGGAAGGTTGAACAGCCAAAAGTTAGATCGTAAATGGCCCTCAGATATCTGCAGTGTCTTCTGGTTCATTTGCACTGAATTCATGTCACTAGAAACCATGAAGTTAGAAACATCACCAGAGATGGCAAGTTGCTGTTTGTTTATCTATCTATCTATCTATCTATCTATCTATCTATCTATCTATCTATCTATCTATCTATCTATCTATCTATCTATCTATCTATCTATCTATCTATCNGGGGCGGCGGCGGCGGGGGTGGGGCGGCGGCCAGGGAGGAACAGCCAAAATGCCCCCTCGGCTTATGCGCGGGTCACCAATTTTTCCCAGTTCTCTGTGGGAAAATCGGTCCCTCGGCTTATACTCGGGTCGACTTATACTCGAGTATATACGGTAACTTGTCTTCTTCTCCAACACTATAAGAACAGCAGGAACGAGAATCTAAACGCCATCCAAAAAAGGAATGTGAAGTTAAGCACAATTTGGAGAGCTAATTTCATGTAGGAAGTCTCTTTTTGCAAAGAACAACAAACTGTGCAATACAGTTGCCAATCCTTGTGGGGTGCCTGGGTGAAAGGAAAGTGAAAAGTTGAACATCTTTCCATCTCTAGCAGCAAAAGCCTAGACCACAAATTTTCTGCTGTTTCATTCTGGTATTTCCACTTAAGCTGCTAAAAAGCTACAGTTTAAAAAAATTCTGGATTGACTAAATGTATACAATGTCCATCTCACTATCGATTCTGGAGGTTACATGAGTTCAGTCAAGAAAAAAAAATAGGTAGATCTTGCCTAAAAAAAAAAATAGAATAGAATAGTTCTGGAAGGGACCTTGGAGGTCTTCTAGTCCAGCCCCCTGCTCAAGCAGGAGAACCTATACCATTTCAGACAAGTGACTGTCTAGCCTCTTCTTAAAAATCTCCAGTGATGGAGGGCCCACGATTTCTGAAGGCAAGCTGTTCCACTGGTTAATTGTCCTTATTGTTAGGAAGTTTCTCCTTAATTCCAGGTTGCTTCTCTCTTTGATCAGTTTCCATCCATTGTTTCTTGTCCTGCCCTAGTACAAAGCACATTCCACATTTTACTTAAAATTCCAAAAAGTCCGCAAGTCTTAAAGCTGTCAAGGTTGTAGACCCCTGCTATAGAGATCAGCTGAGAAAAAAAAATCATTCTAAGAGCTCAAGTGGGAATTGTTCCTAAGAAAGCCTGCCAACAATTGACACTCGAATCTCCTGTTATCACTCTGCAGATGTTAACAAGGTCTGTTTGTCTTGTGG